GCCCGCACACTAACCGCCCGCACGTGACTCCACCTGCACGCCCTCATCTTAGCATCTACAGGTTTGAGGACGGTGAGGATGTTAGAGGCACATTACTGCCACGTGTCTAGCAATAGTAGCCACGCTCCTGTGGCTACTGGACCGGATTTGCCTGTTTTTGACTGTCGTCGACTGCTTGGCTTTTCTATCAATGAATTAAAGCTCGTATCGGTGGGTGTATTGACAATTAACCGTCTTTTTTTCCATTAAATTCTTCCCATTTATTATTAATGGACGAGTCGAAAGACGATTTACACTTCAAACAAACGACCCTCCCGGTAAAATGTGAGGAATTTATAACACAGACGACACTATAAATCAATTCTAGGTGCCTTTTTTTAGGTTAATATAGACCTGGTTACGAACGATTAGTATTCAGAGTAGAGCAATTTACATATTAAATCTTTAACTAGTTCGATAGTAACGTCGAGGGGGAGGGAAAGAAGCGTGTGTTGCGCTCGAGTAAATAAATTAATTTTTTGTTTTAAACAGTGCAAAATTATGCAATTATTATTATGTCTGAGTAAATTTTAAAATGTCGTTTAAATCATTATCTAACTAATCTCTTCGACAGTCGAGTTAATTACGTAACAACTGGAAAAGTATAGGAATAATCGAAAGAAATTTGATGTCTTTCTATTAAAAAAACAACTGCGATTACATAAATGTTTATCATTTATTTTTAAGAAATAAAACAGTAAATTTCATTGGACACCTGCCGTGTTTACAGGAATTATTATTATACGTTATATATACAAAGTTTTGCATGGATGATGATAATTCTCGTCCAATTAAAAAGTAGATTTTGTGGGTGGCTCTGCCTTTCTCCTCCCTCCGTTGGTCGTCATCCGTTCAAGGTCAGAGTGCTATACCAAGACACAAGAACTACCTGTACATCGCTCGTTTCGTCATCGACGTCGGATGATTCTATAGGAAAAATGTTGACAAACAAAAGGAACCATTCTCGACAATAACAAGACAGAGAAATTGTCTGTCGTTATACCTTTTTTTTACGAGAGATTTCAATTAGTCAGCTCTAGTTTGGTTCCCTCACTCCCCCCCACTCAATTCACTTAAAGCTAGTTTAATTGAGGAGAGTGAGTGATGAAGCATCGTCATCGCGTATCATCCGAAGAGGACCACTCCGAATGGGAAAAAAGAACGGTCAGTCACTGGAAAAAAAAAAAAAAATTACGAGTTAATAATAAAAAGTTTTATGTGAATTTAGGTGGGGAAAGTCGATTTCGATGTATAAACGAAGGGGGTAAAATTGCATTTATTATTCTTGGATCTATTTCGAGATCGGGGGATAGATTTAACCGGTTCAAACAATAGGTACAGGTGTTAAAAGTTAGCCGACATTACAATCGCTAAGTGAAAGTGTAAACGCCATTTTGCTGTTTGCATTTCATTCACGTAATTTACTTTTTCAGAATGAATCCTCTGGGCTATTTTCGTTTGCTACAACGATGATTCAACCATTACTTTTATCTCCATCTACGTTCCATTGTTGCATGCTCTACGATTTGTACGTTTAATGCTAATTAATTTCAACCTGCTTTTTTTTTTTATTATTATTATCACATCGGACCTCCTCATTTAGAATATTCATAACTGCTTTCTCCTATAATTAATTTTAAGAGTCTCGGAATGTATTTTTTTTTTTTAAATTGTATTTAAAAGCAATTAATGAGCTTGTAAGTCTACAATAAGCGAAAACTTCTCATATAAAAAAAAAAAAAATGGAGGGGGAAAAAACCGGAAGAACCGTTGAAAAGAAAGGAAAATGAAAAGAATTTCGATAGGTTCACTTAGTTAAATTCCCCCTTTTTGTCGGAAAAAGGATGATTTCCGGTGATGTAAACGACATTTAATTTGACCGGTTTTGTAACAGGTCGCCCGTTTGTTAGAAATGTGTGCGAACAACAAACCAGTCCGAGGTTGTCTAGTCTAGCCCAAGGCACCGCTTAAATAAACTCATTGTTTGCCAACATCAACATCCCCTACCCGTTGATCTAGTATGATTTGTAAACATATCGCAATCCCAAAACGTCGACTTAATAGTAAGATACAGTTAAGTAATATATAAAACAGAGTTTCTCAATATTACCTATCCCCTTCCTCCCCTTATTAGCATAACACGAGATGAACAGAATATCGGAATTTCTACTTCAACTTCTATTATCGTCCTATTGATTCGATATTACATAAATAACCACCGATTTGGTAAGTTTAATTATCTATAATCTATACAAATTAATAAATAAACGATATATTTTTAAGGCCAATTGTTTCGTTTTCTTTAAATCTCTGTCCCAATCTAAGAGAACGAATTTTGAAATCGAATGAGGGAAATCATTATCACGTGGCTTCCTACTTATCTTCTTTATCTCTAGATTTCGACTTTGTAAATGACTCCATCTCAACGGGGGGTGGAGAGAGTTTGAGGAAGAAGTACCGTCCGTTACTGTGGTAAAAATTCCGTCTCTCCCCTACTAGTGTAATCTACTCATTTCGATTAATAATCCTTACGATAAAATCTAATTAAGAGTATAGATACTAAGTTTAAAAAGAAAATGATCTGTCTGTCACCTTGTCAAGAATACAACTACCATTTAAAAAACAGTGTTTATCCTTAAAATTAATCAATGAATTATTAAATATCTTTCATCAAAATTTTAATGAATTATTTACAATTAAAATTTAGAGGAAAGAAGTTAAAATACTTCACATTTTTAATGAATTTAATTACTTAACTCTACTAGATATATATATAGAGAGATTGACACCTGTAAATCTAGGCCATTCTTTATTTAAAATTACGATGAAATTTGATGAGTGATAGTTTAAAAACGAGGATTAAACCTTAAAGATTACGTCTTTACAACGTTTAAGCTCATTTAATTCTAATTAAATAATCGTCGATTGTCAATGAAGTGACGTGTAAATTACATGGAATGATTGATTATGTTAACGTTTAGTAAATATACTTCGGTTCGTTTATAAAGCATTAGAGTCTGATATTCTTTGAGCGATACAACACTTTAGGGAATAACCATTAGTCGACTTCATTTATTCGTAGGTTGCACACCTGTCTAACGACTTTATCTTAACCGAAGCAGTAGTAACCATCTGCTTTCCACCAGAGACATCATCTCGGCTCAGGTGGCAAACACCGGAAGTATCGACACGCGATACCGGAAGACACGTGACTAGCGTGTCCTCTCGCGTGTTAGTTAGTAACCTGGACAGAATTCGAAACCAGAAATTTCTAATAGAGTTTTATACACGAGGGAATAAGAAGAAATCCCATTGCAACGTACCGCTAATGAGATTTGCAACGAGTACACTCGGTGGGGGGGGAAACTACAGTCATTAGGTGTTAATAACGACTGGGGCCAACTAATTTAGAAGAGTTGACTCGTACTTAACGATTTAAACGTTTCGTTAACTCCCTAGAAAGTTTCTACAATGAATTATTACTTTGTTAATTAGCCCTCAATAGCTAAGGATTAGTAAACGACAATGGATTGTGTGAAATCCTTCAATTTTGTTTCGAGTTCGATTCTGTCTTGTAATAAATCTCTGGTAGCTTTGTTGTTGTCAGACAAAAAAAAACACCTTTGGCCAATCCGACGAAAGTAATTTCTTAAATTTGTCTCGGGATATAAAAGCGTAATGAAATATTGATCTACAAACAGGAAATCCTCACCACCCACTTCCGCGGTGCTAATGAAACATTCTCGACACTTCAGGAAACAGGTGAAGACAATCACGCAAAGATGTCACGTGTCGATGATCACCCGCCACGCGTGAATCGCCACCTCGAACGTGACATTCAAATCATTAAAACAGATCGAATATCTCTTAAGATCTAAGTAATTGGTGGCGAAATTTCTATGGTTTGATAAGTCTTCTAAGGACGTAATAGAGATTTTACGTAAGGTACTTTTTAAGGAAAAACTTTTTAAGATTTACGTTTTTACGTAACCGACCTTCTGTCACTTTCATTCCTACCAACTCCCACTGTCACCGTCTAAAACGTAGGCTAAAAAAAAAGTAGGCGGACACACAAGTTCTAGGACCTCTGAATATTCGAGTGGAGGCGAAAACAGCTTGATATGCAGCAACATCGAACATCTTCGTTCACCAACTGCACCTTTTACGGAATTCCCCCCGAAAACATTTAAACGATCTGATAGCTCTAACGTGCCTACTTAATAATTTTTATCCCAATACAAAAAAAAAACACAAGAAGTTATGTGGAGAATCTTCTCGAAGAGGTGGGTTATCTACCTTTACTCTTGTTTTCCTCTATTTGTATTGTCCTATTTCCTTTATTTTCGTTTATTGATAAATAAATAATACGACATAACGGAATATTTTGCCGTTTTTATGAATGAGCTTCCTGTTGCTGAAGGTGTGTCGTTGGTTTCGCTCGATGATCGCGCTAGAGAAAGGGATGATTTGTGTACTATATAGCCTTGAATCAAGTTTTAAACGTCTACAAATCAAAACACGTGCATTTAAAGTATTCTAAACCGATTTTCTGTAATATTTTTAAGGAAATAAAAGCAGTTTTATTATTACGATAAAGGAAAATGGCTTAAAGAGAAACCAATAATTGTGAATTTTCCAATATCTAAGCCAATTGTTATCGAAACACTAGTCTGTATCGAAGTTAAAAACACTTGTAAATAGTCTGTGTATCAGAATTAACAGGGATTTTTTTGTATTTTTGAAGCTTTACTCTCGTATATTCTATATAATTGACCCAGTCAAGGTCTGGAAACAGAAACAGGTGCGACTTCTTTTGGGTGCGAACTTCCGCCGTGATGTCAACGCTTAATTTTTAACTAAACCCATGTCTTCGAATCTTTAAAAAAAAAAACACGTTAAATCACGACAAAGTTTGTGTTTAAATGTTTTAAAATAATTATATACTGAAATTTTATCCAATGGCAAGTTTTTTTTTTATTTATTTACAAAGGGATGACATGAAATCATAAGCTGTAATGTGACATCAACATTCTTTGATGGCGGAGAAACTATATACAACGACAATTACTATAAATATACAGAAATATATACAGACGTTCCACTTGGAACAGTTCGAAATATTTTTTTTTAAATTTGCTTTTTTCCAAAAAGCACAAAACACGGAAAAGCACTTGTTCCGCTTATTCCATTGTTTAAGTGTAATGGAAAAAAATTCATTCGAATATTCCATCATAAATTAATGTTGTGACGAGGAACTTTCTCGCATACGTCACGTGTCTGTTGCGTTTTCTGCTATTTTATACATAGTATAAATAGCAATATTCATGCGTCAAGGCACTTCCTTCTGTTGAGACGACTCCCCCTTGGCTTTTTCTAGGGGACACGTTCGCTGTTCGCTCCCTCGGCGACAAAAGGGCAGAATCGAGTCCGCTTTGAAATAAATAGGACTTTGGGTAGTTGTGAAAAGGTTCCCCCGTTCAACTTGGTCATACCTCTGTTGCCAATGCTCCCTCGGCGTAAGAGGCCTGAGGATAATGGTCCTCTATGACGTAGATGCTACTGTGTGGACATACATCTTGAGATGACGCCTCGCTGCTGCAATAGAAAGAAGAAACGTTTTAGAAAATCATTGGATTTACTAAATTTTTCTTCCGTTTACACTTAAGATTTAAATTTTTCGTGTTAATTATTTACACACGATAAAATGCAAAGCGTATTTTATAATTAAAAGATACATTGTAATCACCTTTTAGTAACTGGATCGTGTACGATAGCCAGCGAGTCTTTATTTTGTCCACATTTTTGCTGTTGAAGCATCGTGTTCTGCGATTCTTTGGCAGTCTCTGATAAATCTAACACTTTACTTGTTCTATTACTTTCACACTCTGTATTCAAGAGTTTTGTGGATCTGGTCCTATGAAGAGCGGAAACGCTCTGATCTCTCGACAGAGCGTCTTCGTTGGTCAGTTTGAGATTTTTTGGACCTAAAGTGTTTATGATCAATGGATGATCCGGGCATTTATTGTTCATGCAATTGACCGCGTTTTGTTCGTTCTGTTTCATGATTTCTTCTTCTTGAGCTTGATGTTTCTTGCGTTTGCGGCATCTCAGAAACAGAATAACCACAACGGCAGTCAGTGCCACAATTGGCACTGCAGCTGACATCGTAGCAATTAGAGCTAATTGTTGAGAAGACAATCTCTTGGTTTGGTCATGTTGTTCATCATATTTCTGATGAGATACTTCCAAATTTCCATCTTCGCGCACAGAATTATCCAAAGGAATGCTTTTATTAGTAGAAGAATATTCTTCTTTCGGGCGTTGAAGAACACCTCGTAACGTGGGACCAATTTCACACTGTTGACCACTATAACCGGGAGGACATTGACACGAGTATTCGTTCACCAAATCCTCGCAAGTTCCACCATTTTGGCAAGGCGTCGAAGAACAGTCGTCAATGTTAACAGAACAATCTTTACCGGTGAAGCCCGACTGACACGCACAACTATAATCGTTGACGAGATCAAAACAGGTGCCACCGTTAGCGCAAGGCTTGGTAAGACAGTCATCCACATTAGTTTGGCATAGACTCCCGACATAACCGGGTACACACATGCAACGAAACGAGTTAACATCGTCGATGCAAGAACCTCCATTGATGCACGGATTCTCGATGCAATCGTCAATGTCTTGTTCGCAAAGACTTCCTTTGAATCCCGTAGGACATATACATTTGTAGGTGTCGGAATCATCGGAACCAACGCAAGTTCCACCTAAACAATATCAAAAAACCTCATAATTAGATCCAATAACTTCACCCATAATTATAAATTCAAGTTTTTTTTTAAACCGAAATTTACCATTTTTGCAAGGATTCGGTTCACATTTATCCTTCTGCTGCTCGCATTGAAAGCCTTCGAAACCTTTTCTACAGATGCATGCAAAACCGGGTGCATCATCGATACACGTTCCTCCATTCAAACATGTCGATTCGCTGCACGCACTGACTGAAGTTTCGCAATGTCGTCCAAAATAGCCATCGGGGCATTCGCATACGTAATCTTCTCTCCTATTATCAGACTGAAATTGAGAAAGAACATAGGAGTTACTTAATCGAAGTGTATCATCTATCTTCTCGTTACAGACCGACTAAGCACAATAGGCACGAAAAAACTAACTTAAGGTGGAAAGAATAAAAAAAAAGGGTAGACAACTAATCTGTGCTTTACTTTTTTAAAGTGTTTCTTGTGCAAAACGCGTCCCGAAACAACATTCCTGACTCGCAGGTGTTGTGAACGAGAAAACTGGAATCGAGTGGAAGCGCATGTTAGTCCAGACAGTGCTATTTAAATGTGACTCCTAAAAACAAGCTAGTCTAGACCGAAGATAGATAGATCTCTTATTTACACGTCAAACACTGTACTACGAATTAAAGTTTTTCCTAGAAAGCTATTTAAAAACTCCCTTATCGATGTTCTAAAATATAAAACTTAATTACCTTGCAGATTCCTCCGTTTTGACAGGGTTGCTGGGCACAGGAATCGACTCCGTGTTCGCAATTAGTCCCACTGAATCCGTCTGCACACGTACATGTGTACGATCCCTGACCAGTGTTGGTGCAAGTACCTCCGTTCTTGCATGGCATGTGATTGGTGCAGTAATTTAAATCTACATACAAAAAAAAGGGCTTTATAAGAATATCGAAAAGTGAAAAATGCGTATAGAGTTTTTTTTTTTAAATCCCCTTTTCTTTACCTTGATTACAAAAGAGTCCACCCCAACCTTCATCACAATTGCATTGCCATGGTTGATTGCAAGTGCCGTGCAGACATCCAGGATAACGTATGCACTGATCGCACAGTCTTCCTTGCCAACCTATTCGACATCTGAAAGTGAGGGGGAAAATAATTTTAATTAAAAATCGTCCATTTAATAGAGACTTCTATCCGGAGCATGTATTTGACAAGAAATAAATGAAGAGAGACTCACTTGCATTCGTTGGGTTTCTCACAGAAGCCGTGCTGATCGTGACATCCAGTCAAACAAACAGCTACAAGGAATAAAAAAAAAGGAGAGAAAATTAAGAAACACGAGCTATTGACTCGAGGGTGAGCGAAAGGGCCCTTCAATGGGTGCCCCCTCGTTCGCGATCGGCTGGGAACCGTAAACAAGAAAAGAGTCCGACCGATACTCTCACGCTAAGAAAGGGGGGGCGATAAAGAAGGTATTGTTTAACCCCCCGACGTCTCGGGACCCCGAGAGCCAGATGTCCGCGATTCCCTCTTCTTCCGTCTTTGCCAAGTGAGAGCCGCTCGTCCCCGGGGCATCTGTCGTCGGCCATTGTTCCTCGGCCCAATGGGGGAATGCACCCAGCTGCCGTTCTGTACTAACCTATATCGAGCAAGGTTGGTCCTCGATATTGTTGTTTACGGCTCCGCAACCACCTTATTTTGCTCATATATTAAAAAAATATATCCCGATTAAGTTAATAACGAAATCAAACAGGCCATTTCTATTACCGAAATAGAAGAAATGGAGTAAAAAAAAAAGCCTGTATAAAACGTAAAGAAGATCTTCCCGTTTCCCAGTTCGGTTATTCGCCACTAGAGGTCAGCGTTTATTTTTAGGAACCGCCAACCCTTTCGAACCTAACCTAGTTTCGGGCAACGTGCCTAACCTTCTAATCTCTGACCGGGAGACGATTTACTCGTAAGACCTGGTTTCGAAAGAAGAAGCGACCCGCAAGTTCGGATCAACGAACGCTTAAACAATTAAGCGACCTTCTCCGTCCAGAACGAAAAGGGAACATCGAACGGGGAAACGATCCGAGTTTGTTTACCTCCGCGGCCATTGGCGACACAACCCGTGGGAACACCAGCACTCGACATTTTACAGGCGCGAGTTAACGTACTCTTTCTTTACTTACCTTTGCCACAATATTCTCCCGTCCATCCAGGTAGACATATCTTCTCTCCGCTAGAACTACAACTGTAATGGCCGAATTTATCGTCTCTGGGCCTACACAATTTGGTACACTCGTCGCCGTAGTAATGCTCGTCGCATAGCACTCGATACGAATAAGTTAAGGTGGTGTGATTAGTGTGATGATTGTCTTGAATCCATCCCGGACCCACGTCTAACCATCTTTGCGTGGCGAGACGAGTTATCAGAGTTCGTCCGCTACCTAAAAGGAAGAGAAAACAAACGGGTATTAAAATAAAATGTCTTGTAGTTGCAATAAGCGTTACATACGCCCGACTCCCCTTTTAGAAGGGGACAACTTTCTCACGAGTTTCGGTAGAGTGGGGTTCGACCCTCCTCCTCCCCATCGTCTTTCTTTTGCCCCTCTTTCTCTCTCGATCTTTAAACAGATTCGTAGCAGATGGTCCGAAAGATGAAACGGAGTAGACAATGGGGTAGTCGGACGCGTTAAGTAACGAAGATATCGAAACAATCGTCTCTGATAGGGGTCTAGATTGGCGACCGCGCTGGTTGCGAGTCGCTAAATCGGACGATTTTATCGCTTTCGAGCATCTGGTCGCCCGCCTAAGGCAACGTTCCCACAGTTAGCAAGTTGGAGAGAGGGAATTGGCAGACTCCCAGCTCGGTCGACTGACGTACTCCAGGTGCGCGCTGGACGACCTTGGGGTCAGCATCGAAATCGCATTGGAAGAACGTAACTCGAGATTCATTCCCACAATATTAACCCGTAACGCGATTAATAGTAGTAGTAGTGTTTTTTTAAAAGAAAAAAAACTCACCTCCCGATTCGGGCGTAGACTCGTGCCAAGCTTCGACTATCAAGGAAAACGTGCCCTGTATCGAAAATGAAGATCAATTAGAAATCATGACGGCTCGGAGCCAATGGCGATTCCTAACTAAAAACACACATCTTGGACACTTACCGGCCACGAGAATTCGAAGGAAAATCGAATGGGATTAACAAAATCCGGCGTCTTCTGGTTGACGTTAAACGTGTTATTGGCGATGACGGGTGTTAAAACTTCTCCAAACGTACAGGGAGGACTAGGATCTATGGTCGTCTGATAATGCTTAAGACAGACCCGAAATCTAGTACTACAGATTCCACTGCAAGCACCATGGCCCGACCGATATCCGTGACAACAATTTCCCTCGGCGTCACGACCATAATCGTTAGAGAATGATAGAAGACGGAGTTCGAAAACACCGCTCGACGATACCTAACAATTTTTACAAAACCATTTTCAGCCAAACGTAATTCAAATATCCCCTTTCTCGCAAAGAAATAAGAAAAAGAAACTTACCTTAGCGCTGAAACATAGAGTGAGAATCAAACTCCAACACCACGTGGAAGATTCCATATCAGATCCTTAGACGAGAGAGAATGAGTAAAAATGTATCCTTTTAAAGCACACACAGCATCAACACTCGGATCCACCACAAAAGCTGCAGGCGAAAGAAACAAAAATAATCACTTAACGCACGGCAATCCACAAACGGTATCCACACAAGTCATGGAGCCAAAAAATCCACAGAAATAACGATCGAATGTCGATAAACACATAACATCTCAAGAGAATCGAGCACACCGACGGTACAACATCAACTACGGATTGGTCAGAGCTGGTTCAAGCTTTTATACCGGTGGGATCCTTCCACTCGACTCGGAGGGTGATCCGGTCGCTCGTAGCTGGGAGCGCTCACTTCTTCCATTCACAAACAGTTGCCGGCAGGGGACGGAAACCGGCAGCAGGATATGGAAGATCTGCTTTCCAGCTCGGAAACTCCATCTCCACGGCCCAACTCTAATTTAAATACCAACGAGCGCGCGCTTTTTTTTATTCCTCTTTCTAATAAAATCTAATTTCTCTCTCGCTAAATTCAACAAATCTATTAATAAAAATATTATCAACACCCATTACATTTCAACTTTTTTCTTATAAATAGTTTCGTTACGAAGATCAAAACATTTTCTTCTCTCGACACCAATCCGCAGATTAAAATAAGTTTTATTTTATAATTTAAAAATATATCAAATTATTTTTTTTTAATTTATAAGAAAGAAAAAAAAAAAAAAGGCTCAATTTTCCCACCACTCGTAATTAAAACCTGTTATGAATGGAGTCGTTTCATAAGGATTGTCTAAACAGCGCTACGTTTTCCCCATTCTGTAGGCTTGGCCCTACCCTGGCAGCTGGTAGGACACCTGCCGGAGCCATTGTATTCTCCTCTTATCATATGTTCCTGCAAAGGGCAGAATCGAGCCACGTGGACTTGCTCGAGATATTAAGAAATCTCTCTCTCTCTCTCTTATCCGTCCGATAATTCTGGACTTTTAAAATTTACCTCTTGAAATCAAACTCGAATATATCCCTCTAGGCTATATAGACGGGCTATTATTTTTGTTGCTTACTATAGAAAAAAAATCACTTAAGTATTCCATTTACGGAATTGATTTCCGGATGAAGATTTAATGAAGTTTTCCCCCTTCTCGACTTATTTGCATACGCACTCGAGAATTCATTCATTACGAGTGTTGTAGAATCGTCTTCTTCGTCTCTTTTCGGTACAGATTTCACCTGGATCTCTTGGCATACCCATGGGAACATCTGGCACAATCTAATTTCCGCTTTCCCCATGTGCGGAAATCGGAATTTCCCCCTGACAAACGTCGATATTGTGTACGGAAAAAGTACACATACAAGAAAAAAAAAAAAAAAAAGCCGAATTGACTTGTATCGTGCACGTATTATATACAAAAACACCCATTTGGCCCCGGTTATATGGATTTTGATAATCTCGAGGATTATTGTTTGATTTCCGTTTTGTATTCAAAGCGATTCAATTTAATAGGAAACATTGAAAATGTCTCTTTTAAGAATTTCGATGCCGTATGCCCCAGGTCAAAGGGGTTAAAACTTCATAAACACTAAGTTATATAATACGGTATATTCAACCACAGATAATATATTACAGATTGTTCCGAAATAACCATTCGAATACAATACAACGATATTTTTACTAGCAGGAAACTTTCTACAAATGAAAATTTATTTTACTTTTTTGAATCGCAAATAAAGGATATCCGGAAAAAAAATGTAAATATTCTGATAAAGATACACGCTCTTAGATACATAATATGATTTTTGGAATTTATATAACACACCTTTTTATATTAATTAATAAAGCAACGTCTACAACTTAGCAGTGAAGCCCGTTTTCAAGGCACTTTCTGTGTTTGGGTGGGTTGTATACTCATATATAAACACGTAACAGCACAATAAACACACACACACACACACACAAAAAAGACGACGATTTTTGTGAAATTATCAAAAAAAAAACCATAGTAGTAATTGCCCTTAATTGGTTATTTTAAAAGATTCAAGCGGCGCGTGTAGGAGAGAGTCCAGAAAGGAAACGCCAAGTCCACCAAGCGTGGACTTCCGGTCATTTTCGAACCTAAATGCATCGGCATCTTTGGTTCGCAGCTGCAGGGAAGAGAGCCACGCGCCGAACATGAATGGGATCCGACTACACAAAAGGAGGGGTCGAGGGAGGAAACGTAGGTAGAACCAAGGAGATTGAAAAAAGAACGTATAAGCAAACCGGAAATGCGTCAGGGCACGTGGCAGGCTCGCGACCAGCCGGCCTCCTCGTCCAATCAAGAGCCGATCTTAAATTGACTGTAACAAGTGAGTGGTTCGCGCAACAAAGATCGAATCGAGGCAAGACATATGCTGGTCGATGGACGAACACCTTGTTCGAGAACATCTGGAAACGAGAAGTATGTTTACCGAATGTCTACATCTACTGTAGATGACGCACCCCCTCCGCTCCATCTGTCGTCTTAGACTCTAGAAAAACAACCATTGTTCTTCGGGAGGTTCTTCTCTTCCCAATTCTCACCCAATTTCCTAATGAATTTTAATAAATATATTCCGAAGGAGGATAGACGTTGACCTAATTTACTTCGTATCGTTTAATGAAAAAAAGAAAAACACGCCGATACAAGATAGGTGAGAGGAAACGGAAATTCTAAGCGGGACATCTTCGACTTGGCTTCACGCCACTGACCAAACATTGTATTTGCTCGTTTGTCTGTAGCGGTGCAAGAAGTATGACGATCCAATGAAGCATCGTCCAACGAATATCTAATGATTGTCCAATGTGAAAATTATAAAAAGCCAGAAGAAAAAACTCCCCTCGAACCATTTTAATCCGTAAACCCTATAAAAATGTCTGAAAGGTAGTGACCCCGAGAGAGTGGGGTTCCTGGGAAGAAATCGATAAGTGTGACAACTCTTTCCCATCTGCTTTCACCAGTTCATCCCCTTCATTTTTTTCCTCGATTCATCTGCATACCGACAGAGAATTAGGTCTACATAAAGCCTTCTTCGCCGAATACAAGGTGGGTATTGGACTTCCGGCCGGCTGGCCCTGCTCCCTTCTCCAGCGCGTGCAGCATCTGGCATCCCTACAAATGGGACCGTACCATCTGGCAAGATTGGGAGTTTTCCCTGCAGGAAAGACTGTACCTAAGGGACACTCTATTGTGGACAGGAAGTGTTGCTTGGCAACAGATCATTTAAATCATTCCCTTTCTGGGTCTTAGCCGGTTGCTGGGAGACGATGTTTTTCTAATTGTCGATTGAAAAATCTTCTCCAATGTAAAATAAACAATTACTTGTCTACTACAATTTGAAATTAAACTCTCCAATGGAAATGGTAACCATAGCTTGCCCAAGTGCCTGGCAATTAAGATAGTAATGTTGCTAACTTACCACCAATTCCATTTAAAATTATTTTAAATGGAACCTCTAATAGCATATCAAATGAGAGAATATATCAATAAGAACAATCTAATTGCTAAAATGCCCCGAAAAAAATATCCAAAAGATTATTCGATATAATTCATCTTTGCGTATTCAATAAGCAATGTCATCCGAAAGAATTTCCTCAAGACATCACGATAAAGAAAACTGCAAATTTTGCAAAAGAAAAAAAATCAATGAAGGAAAACGGCATATAACTCAGTTAGAGATGGAATAGATTATTTGTCATTGCCATTTCCTACCTTAAAACACGATAAGCGAAATAGGAAAACCAAGAGGAAAAGTTTTAACTCGTACCTGCCAGCATTTATACAATGTTACAAGAGAAACATCGATATTACTAGAATATAGCGGAAGTATTGCTAGTCAGGTACAGATGTCTTTTTTATCGCATATGTTATTCGCATTCGTTAGTAAAGCAGGTTGGCAAGTGAGAAATCATCAAAGACATCTGCCAAAGAAGTGCAACACGGCACGAACCAGATGGCCATCGCTGACGGCGCCAATAATCGGGAGCATCTGGCCTAACTCCCGCCCCACCTGTTTATAACCCAACTCTTGGGATGAAGGAAACGTATTTCTCACTATCTTCCGATTTCAGATATCAACAGCGGATCAAAGTACACAACTTTGTATATTCAACTTGGTCGACGGACCATCTGTTAGCGTTTTAAGTATACGTCTTACCTTTTATCTACATTTTTTACTATTCCTATACAAAAGTTTTCATCAATAATAAATTAACCTTGAATGAAATCCGTATTACTTTTAAATATACTATAATATATGGAATCTGACCTTTTTGATACATATTTATATCATTAAATATCATTATTCACGTATGTAAATATCGCTTGAATGCGACATTATATATTACTACTTACTCGTAACACTTATCCTACCATTAACCTTGTCTTAGATCTAAATAATACAACAATTCGAGGAAATAATATACATATTTTTTGATATCCCCCTTATTAAATACTATTCCTAACGAATATTTGCAGCTTTATTAGCAAAAGTTTGGCATTTTTTATCGTCAAAAGTTTCTATTTTTGGTAGTACATCCTCACCTTTTCCTCTAAGAAAAGTGTCTAAAAGGGGGGAAAAATATTAATTTCAAATAAATGTATTTATCTATATTGATAGAGGAATTGTGGCTGCATAATAGAACCTATTTATTCATTTATTTACTTTTAATTTGATAAGGAAAGTGTGCCATCTTCGAGATAAGTTAAAATTCTTATTTCGTTCTTGAAATATTCAACATCTGCCAATCGATTTGTTTTTTTTTTTTTTCTTTTTTTTTTTAAGAATAAAAACTTGCACAATAATCCTAAACCGAACAAGTACGCGCGTAATTGTGTACAGAAGGCTCGAAATTTACGTTGTTTGATAGTAATTCCTATGTTTTATAGCGTTAAGCCCACCTTAAAAGCTCTTAGTTAACAGTTGGCTATGGGCCCGATGTATTTTCTAAAGGACAAATTATGTCAAAAAACGAATAAGCATAAATATAATTCATAGTATTAAGAGTAGAGATGAATTGGTTTTTCTAATAAATTTTCTTACTCGACACTAAAGAAGCCCCTCGACACGTGACTAACAGCT